AGTCAGAGCACACCTCGCTTTTTCAGACTGATGAGCTTTGTAAAAATCGACGCGTTTCAAAAAGGCGGGGCATAGAGGAGAAACAATAATGTACAGTATGTGGAAAATAATGTGTTTTTTTAACTTTAAACCGCATAAACACATTTCATTACACCAAATACACAAAATAATGTTCTTTTTAGCAACATCATATGACCCCTTTAACTATAATAATCCTGCTTTATAGTTTTACATTTTTATTTCAGCTTTAGTTTGAGTACCAGTTTTTTTTTTTTTTTATTGCTTTTTTGTCCAAAGCATAGCGTAAGTATTCATGCATATATATCTACATCAGTTCCCTGTTTGCTTTAGTAAAACTGGTTTTGCTATAATGTCCCTCTAAGGCATCAATCAGTCACACTATGCAAAGCTTTGTCTTCATATCTGGAACAGCTGGAAGCGACATATTTTAATTATACGAGAGCTGTTTAATTCCACAGATGCTGATCTGAGTGTGTTTGCTATATGAAGTCTGTAGGGTTTGTGTATTCATGCATGTGAGACCGCTAGTTTAAAATTATGATGTTTACCTAATTTTAACAGGTAAGATAAAAAAAACTTCTTTTAAGATTAAAAATCTCCTTTCCAAGAGGACTTTTTAGGTGTGCACTAGCATATAGATGATCACAAAGACACGGACTAAAAAAGTGTTATTTTGTATCATTGAGATACTGTTATGGTTTTGATTAATATTTTTAATTTTATTTTTATATTTTTCTTTTTAAATTTAGTTACATTTTTAGATTTTTTTTTGTGTGTTTTTGTAATTTTATGGTACTTTTTTGTCTGTACAGTTTCTATAGCGTTTCAATTTCATTTTCAATTATTTTAATACATCAAGTTAAAGTAAATAAAAACAAGATGTTCCCTTGACATTTAGCTAAAATAAAAATAAGCTTTTTATGCTTTATTTTATTTAAGTTGATGTTTATTTTATTTCAAGTTACCTGGGTTATTATAGTTAACTAAACCTTAAGCTAAAATTAAAACAATTAAATGTTTAAAATATTTTCATTATGCGAAATAAAATAATTATATAAAATAAACTTTTTATTTCAGCTAGTTGTAAAGGCAGTATTTTTCATATTAATTTAATTAGACTTACCAATACCAATACCAATATAACTGAAATAAAAAGTCAGGAAAAACTATACTATAAAGACATAAAAAAAGAAACTACTAAAAATGACAAAAACACAATAAAAATACTAAAAGTAAAATGAAAACAGAAAATTTACAAATAAAAACTGAGTAAGGAAATTAAAGACAACTATATATAAAAGTAGTATTTCAGTGATACTAAAATAACACTGCAAGGACCAACTTTTCTTTCTTTCTTTCTTTTTTAAATATAGTTTTAGTTAACTATAATAGTCCTGGACTAAACTTCAGTTTTTGATTTCATAGGGTTCATAGAGTGGTTAATAGTCACCTTTGATTTGATATTAAGTTTTAAGTGTGGTTATGCTTTGATCATCTATACCTCCCGTCTATCAAACCTCACCTTTTTCTCTGCTCTCTGCCATTGCAGTATCAAGTCGGGCAGCTTTTCTCTGTGGCTGAGGCCAGTAAAAACGAGACGGGTGGTGGAGAGGGCATTGAAGTGCTAAAGAACGAACCATATGAGAAGGAGGGCGAGAAGGGGCAATACACACACAAAATCTACCACTTAAAGAGGTAAAGAAGAGTCAACGGCTTAGTTTTATTCTGTACGCCAAGATGAGTTCACCGAACTTTAAAAGTATTGTCAAGTTAGTAATTTTCTGTAATGCCTGAAATGTTTCTTACTTCATGATGCTAACACCACCTGCGGTTTAGTATTGTTACATGTGACACATCTCAAGTTTTTTGCAGCACATTATCAGATGGCATTCAACTTAATGCAAAGCTGTAAATAATTACTTCGGCTTTGCTTCATTGCTCTTGTGTTTTGCGTTCATCTAGTAAAGTGCCGGGCTTTGTGAGGATGATTGCACCAGAGGGGGCGTTAGTTTTCCACGAAAAGGCCTGGAATGCTTATCCATACTGTCGCACGAGTGAGTGGAAACCTTTTCATCTGTTATACCACACAATCTGTCACTATCATATTTTTATTGCATACAACAATATGTAATGAGTTACATATTGGCACAGATGTCATGCGTATACAGTGTTTTTTGATTGTTTCACAAAGTTCTCATATGTGCTGTTTGGTAAAGAATTAGGCCGGAAACATACTCCGCAAATACGCAAACGCAGACATGAATACTCAAACAAAGCATACCGAGCTAAACTGTGTTGTTTTATTGGTAGCTTGCCATAAACATGTTTTTTTAACCAACATTAAAGTTAGATAAATGACTGAAAGAGACCCGTAGAGTCTGATAGACTAAGAACGCAGTGCGTACTTGAATTGCGTTATGAATTGACCTCTGACATATTTCGTAGCTATAACGGTTTGCATTCATGTACTCAGAGTATGTTTCGGGCCTCATTTGTATTGGTCTGTTTTGACAGTGGAAATATGAATGGTTTATTATTTCACCTGATTATTTTTCTTCTTTTATTTTTGCATGTTGCTCCATTCTCCTCAGTTGTGACTGTAAGTACGAAAACTAGCTGTTTTTATGACTGTACACTAAACTGTAGTGCATGGTCATTTACTAAAAGTTGTGTTTAATCGAGTCAAACATTTAATTGATTCTAAGGGTATGAATTGACACAGTGACCTTAAAAAGTATTTTGATGCAATTGTAAGTGTGTGAATGAATGTCTGTATCTGCATGTCTTTATTGTTTAGTTTCAAACTTGTTTTTGCCAAAAAGTTTGATTGTAAAGAGCACGTGTTGTCTTTCTTTTTGATAAATTATTATTATGTCATCGTATGCGATAACATTCATTCAAGTGTGGCTTAAAGAGCCAAAAAAAAAAGTGCTAAAAATGTATTCACCCTCAGGCCATCCAAGATGCAGATGAGCTTGTTTGTGCATCGGAACAGATTTGGAGAAATGTATCATTACATCACTTGCTCACCAGTGGATGCTCTGCAGTGAATGGGTGCCGTCAGAAAGAGAGTCCAAACAGCTGAT